TCTAAGTAACTTATGTGGCCTGTGAGACCAAAGTAAGGTGCATTGTTCAAATATACACTCATTGTTTACAACACAATAACTGAACAAACATTATCATTATTAGATTGTGTATAAAACTTTTTTACACAAACAAACAATACAAAACATTGTTTATTACTATTGTTCTATAATATATATACATATGTACAGTCACTGAACACTTTCCTAGAACTGCTGCAGCTTGTGGAACTCTTTGAAACATGAGTATATGCAGAGTGGCACTTGACACTCCTCACACATAAAACAAGTGTCTCTGCGTGTTTGTGGGCGTTTTGTGGTATGTCCACATACAAAACACCTCTTCTGAGCATTTTTCTTGAAAGCAATAGGAGGCAGTTGTATGGAGTAGTGATCACCAGGCCTCAAACAAGATGGCATGTGTTGGTAATTTTGTGGGCGCTGGTCTATTGCAGGTGTTGCTCCTTGGTACTTGACGATTATTTGTCTGATGACCGACAAACAAAATTCACCATATTTTGGTTTGTTGTTGGTCCTCAACTTGTATATGTTATAAGCATTTAGCATTGAAATATCAACAAGATGGAAAAAAAAGTTTTATATACCACTTATAACTCTTGCGTACACAATCAGCAAACCCAATCTGCATGTCACATTTGTCCACTAAGCGCATATTGAGATTGTAGTCCATGACAGCTGCAGGTTTTAGAATGGGTTCATTGGTCTCTCTTTTGTGCCTGCCCGTGTGTGCCATTTTGTTTCAGTGAACTGATGTCAAGAATTTGACATAACGTTTGTCATGCCACCGAAATGCCATGTCGTCATTGGCAGCCAAGGCTTGCACCTCGCCTCTGCGAGTGCCAGCGTTGAACCTTGGCATATGCTTATGACTACCACGCACTGTGCCATACAAGTCTGTCAGGTTCACTCGCAAGAAATCACTGAGTATGGGGCTTGTGTACCAGTTATCAGTATATAATATATGCCCCTTACCAAGATATGGTTCCATCATTGTTCGAACCACATCACCAGAGGTACCCAATAACCTCCTGGTATTACTCCTAATGTATTACTGCCAGTGTACACAATGATATCCAAAACGAGACCACTTTTGCAGTCACACAGTACAAATAACCTTATACCAAAGCGTTTCCTCTTGCATGGTATGTACTGCCTGAATGAGAGTCTTCCTTTGAATAAAATCAAAGACTCGTCAATAACAAGCTTCCTAAAGGGATAAAAATACATGCAACACTTTTGTTTCAGGTACATAAACACGTTCCTGATCTTATATAACCTATCGCTTCTGTCAGGCCTTGTTTTGTCTTAAAAAAATAACATACATAACAGTATCAAAAATCAATTCACTCCTATAATGTCACTAAAACCTGGGGTTGAAATCAGGCGTTCTGTTGACCAGTATGTGGTGACAGTGTGCTTATACACATATTGCATAAGCATTATGGTGGCAAAGAACAGGTACATCTCTGTCACAGTTGTGTCCTTCCACTGGTGTAGCCATGATCTTGGTGAAAGAATTGTATTTGCCATGGTGTACTCATAGTATGTGTTTCGTTTCCCTGACAATAATGTCCATCAGGGGTTCATCAAAGAATAACTGAAAGCATTCTAGTTCAGTGGCATTGTTCCCAAGTATACATGATGGCCATATTCCACTTTGTGTTTCATCAAAGTCATGGGGATTGGGAATAAAATCATCACCTTGCTGCCAATCCCAGATATGGTCTGCTGGTGGGTTCTGGATATTGAAACTTAGTTGTGGTTGTTGTGGGAGTGTGGGGTTGGATGAGGCTGGTTGTAGTTATGCAGAGTCAGCAGCGTCGGTAGTAGCGTGGCCTGCTGCTGGTGCCACATAACTCATGCCACCGCCAACATCACCACCACCTTCTTCCCCATGCACATTACACATCCCCATTGTAACAATAGTGTTATCTTCACTGTCAGGTCATGGTGTAGGGCCACGGGATGTACTCCCAGATTTACTCCTCTGCCTTGGAAGGGCATAAGACACACTACCAGAATGCATGCTGCATCAAACATACTGCTGTTTCACTGGCGAATATTACCCCTCACTGTCGCTACTCAAGCTGCTGTCAATAGCTTCGAAATCACTATCATTATCACTTTCACTGCTCAGATCTGAGTCCTGTAAACGGGGAAATAGTGTCCTTTTTCATCCTGGTACAGGTGAACGTGAATGAGATGTGCCAGCACCAGAGGTGGACGGTTGTGGGTCATCGGGGTTTTCATCACTAATTACGTAATCCTTGGCACTGCTTTCAGTCACACCCTCTCCAAAACCATGAAATTCACTTTCACTGGCACTTCCATCACTGTTAGAACTATCACTTGGGAACAGTAGACTTCCAATATACCGAGGAGTGAGGTACTTCTTACCGCGAAGCATGGTGAAAATGGACTACCAAGATGGCGTTCCCACAATGCACCACTGAGTCCCAGATTTTTTCACAGGGTGCACACCCACCACTGAGACCCATTCTCTCTCATATACGCTTACCAGCTTTCTCCCGCTTGATTTGAAGCCGCTAGAATTTACGCGTATAAATATGTCAGAAACAGTGGCACGTAAGATTTATATATATGACCGAAACAGTCAAAGGGTTAATAGCCCAGGAAAAAGTTGCAGTGCAATTGATTACTAACTCCTGCATTAGACAACACACTCCACCTCTTTTCAAGAGTCTTAACTTGCTAAATATACAAAACATCCACACTTATTATTGTGCCTACTACTTACACAGAACACTATACCCTAATGTAAACCCTCCTCTCAAACTCCTCCTTGATAACTATAACAGAACACACAACCATAATATCCCTCATGTTCATCTCTCCCTATGCAAAAATGCTATGCACGTAAAAGACCCAAAGATCTGGAATTCATTGCCAGAACACACTAAAGGACCCTTGTCTGCAAATCAGTTTAAGGCCCTAATAAGAAATCGCCTAATCACCTAAAATTAACCAGACAAACCGTACCTGATCACTACCAGTTCTCAAAAGCTACTCATATTATGCTGATGAATTCTCAACCACTTACTACTTTGAAATTAGGAGGTCTGTTTTTTCATTATTTTAAATAGTGGTAGATTGTAATACAGTACATCATAATGTATATTGTTCCATTGTAATACCAAATTTCATTGTTTTAAATACGTAGTACTACACTGTAATACATCATATTGTAAATTGTTACATTGTCATATGAACTGTAATTTTTATTAACTAATTCAATAGTGTAATAAGTCTCCACTGGACTTATCATAACCATGTAGCATTACCTGATAAAATATTCAGTTCTCCTGTACTCACTGCAACTCATCTAATGACCATATGAACTATGTATTATTGCCTTACTAATCTAAAGTTAATCTTTAAGTTTGCCCGAAATGCTCTGCATACAAAGGGGCTTTTGGCATGTACACCCAACTATTATATTCCTCTGTACAACCACGTAATTTATCAAAATAAACATCTTAATCCTTAATCTTTCCTAGGCTGACCCCTACCCTGCCTTCCCTCCATACAGATTTGTATGCTCTCAAAGTCATTCTATTTCATTCCATCCTCTCTACAAACCATCTCAATAACCCCTCTTCAGCCATCTGGATAATAGTTTTGGTAATCCCACACCTCCTCCTAATCTCCAAACTACGGATTCTCTGCATTATATTCACACCACACACTGATCTCAGACATGACATCTCCACTGCCTCCAGCCTTCTCCTTGTTGCAATATTAACAACCCATGCCTCACACTCATAAAAGAGCACTGGTATAACTATACTCTCATACATTCCCCTCATTGCTTTCATGGATAAAGTTCTTTGTCTTCACAGACTCCTCAGTGCACCACTCACCTTTTTCCCCTCGTCAATTCTATGATTTGCCTCCTCCTTCACAGACCCATCTGCTGACATATCCACTCCCAAATATCTGAACACATTCACCTCCTCCACACTCCTTCCCTCCAATCTGATATCCAATCTTCCGTTGCCTAATTTTTTTGCTATCCTCATCACCTTACTCTTTCCTATATTCACTTTTAACTTCTTTCTGCAACTTCTCTTCAGAATCTCCCAAAAGCACAGTGTCATCAGCAAAGAGCAACTGTGACACCTCCCACTTTGTGTTAGATTCTTCATCTTTTAACCCACACCTCTTGCCAAGATCTGAGCATTTACTTCTCTTACTACTCCCACTGAACAAGAAAAATGTTCTAATTTCTCTCTTTCTCCATGCCCTCCACATCTGTGACCCTCAGTTCCTTGAATCAAAAATTTCCACTCTTTGCAATTCATTCTCTCATCTTCGCCACCCTTCTGATTTCATAAATTCTGCCTTTTCATATGCCAAATGGACTTCCTTCTCTCCCCAAACTCTCTACTCCTGTGAAATCTCCTATTCTGTGCTTTCCCTATATTTCCAGTCTTTCTAATCTCAGCAACTCTCTTCATCCCTTAGACATTAAACTTACCTTTCGTCAACCTAACACCCTTTGTAGTAATCTAGCTCATACCTCTCTTCGTGCTATAGATACCCCATGTGTCTACTCTATTTCATGCTCCTCTTGTCCTCTCCAGTACTTCAGAGAGACTGGCTGCTCTCTCTCTCTGACAGACTCAAAGAACACAAACAAGTGTTAGGTTTGCTGACACCCATAATGCTCTTTTCTGTCATGTTGGAGATCACAGTCATCTTAATGACTGGTCCTCTGCTAAAACTGTCTATCCTACTTCTAACCTTCACAGTTGCCATCTTGTTGAAGCATCCTTTATACACATCTTTCCTAGTATGAATCTTAGTCCTGGCTTTGTTTCTGATGGTTCCTTCAGAACACTCTTGATTTGACCTGATAATTTCTTCTCTCCCTTCCTCTTCTCCTTTCCTAAATTTCCTTTTTCTTTCCTTCTTTTCCTCTCTTCTGCCTAAGTGTGTCCTGTCTTTCAGTTTCCCCCCACCTGTGGGTCCTTAGTTCTCCTACAGTGCTCTTTTTTCTTGTCCTTAGGCTGATCCCACTTCTACTATTACTACCACTCCATTTCTACTACTATTGCTACTACCATTATTATTGCCTCCCTTCATCCTTCACTTCCCTTTCTCTCTTGTGCCACTGAAATACTCTCCCTACTTTCTATTACCACTATTACCTCTACTACTACTTCCACCACCAGCCTTACTACTACCACTACTTTTTCTTCCTCTCTTGTTCTTATCCTTGTCCCCCTCACCTCTATATATTGGCTCCCTCACTTTTTTGTGATAGTGTGACTTTGTAAATAGTCCAAATTGGACCAAAACATCATCGTAAGGTTCTCTCTCCTATATGCGAGTTATCTGTGTATTGTTCCAGTCATGGTATTGTGCCCTTTTGGTTTTAAACTTAATGTCAATGATACCTTATGAAATTCAATCTATGCCTATATACAGTAGTTTACCTTAAAATCCTTGGGAAACTAACAACTCATTCAGATGAGATAAAAAAATCTCCCTGGAATCTGTAGCACAAATCCCCATTCTACAAAATGATAGCAGCCTTAGGAAGATTTATATAAATGATGAAGTTTCTCTGCTAAACTGATAAATTCAATGGATCAAAACTATGAAGTAGCTAAGAATATAAGTTTTATTTGTGGGTGGGTGTGAGTTAGACCTGATAGCTTGTGCTACCAGGTCGGTTGCCGTGTTCCTTCCTTAAGTCAATGTGACCTGACCTGACTAGGTTGGGTGCATTGGCTTAAGCCGGTAGGAGACTTGGACCTGCCTCGCATGGGCCAGTAGGCCTTCTGCAGTGTTCCTTCGTTCTTATGTTCTTATGTTCTTATTTGTACAACATTTCAAAAGTGTACACCTTCAGCTGCACAGTCATTGATTTCCAAATTAATTTAAGGTGAACTTATCTTTAGAGCATAAACACAATTATTTTTTTTAACACACTGACTGACTCCCACCAAGAAGAAAGTTTTCCTTCTATTTACATTCAGTAATTTATACAGGATAATGAGTTAATAGCCCCTTGCTCCTGGCATTTTAGTTGCCTCTTATGACATGCATGGCTTACAGAGGAAGGATTCTTTATGACTTCCCCATGGAGTGTTATTAAATTTATAAATATATATTTAGAACTGCTCTTGGTTAAGCTCACCTAAACACACCAAACTTTGTGGTAAAATTATAATTTTACTGCCATTTTGACCATGGGGTGGGTCATGTCATGCCTTACTGCAGACATGCCTACAAGAGATGCAGAAAGAGCAGAAGATTGTAAGAATCACAGCATAAAAAAAAAAAAAAAAAAAAGGAAATCTGACAAGTCTCAACAAAAGCTGTAGAAATGTGTAGGATTAGATAAGGTTGGGTGTAGAGGGAGGTAGGAATATTTCTTAAGAAAAATTATGCGACGTGGTCCCAAGAATGCAGAATAGTTTATCAAAATATGCACAGTGCCCTAAAATGGGGGATTACAAATGTATGAGCCATTTCAATTATGTTTGTACTACAGAGACTGCTTTATATTATTAATGATGATCTGTTGCTAATAGGTGCAATTTATATCAATATTTCAAAGGACAAAAGCAGTGTTTTAAGACATTTTAAAAAGTTGAGAGGTTCAGCCAAGTTATCATCACATCAGGCAGACTTCACTATTAATAGTGTATAATATAATAATTATTATTACTATGGTATATAGAACATCAGCTGCCTAAATGATCAGGCTGGTAAATCCCTCCAAAGCAATTAAAATTAACTCATCACACAATACCAGGGCACATGCATTTTAAAGTTATTGTAAATTGATTATTATACTGCTTATTGTTGTAATGTCATTGGAAATATGAAAAACAATATCAATGGATAATAACAAGGCAAAATACTGTACTAAAAAAATGCAAAAAACATTAAAGCAGCTAACATGCAAAACTAGTGATAAAATTACGAAATCTACCTTGTTTGGTTCCAGAACTTAAAAAAGTGCGTGGTAACTTTCGCTGTCTGCGTTTTGAGAACTTTTCTTTATTTGTTGGGAGATGGTCATTTGACTTGGTAGAGACACCACCAAAAAGTGAAGATGTAGAGGAAGATGAACTATCTGGAGAGGTCCTCAAAGATGATGCTGATGGATAAGTATTTCTTGAAAAAGTTTTTGTATTTTGGGCAGAAGCTAATGCAGAGCTCTTTGAGGAAGAAGGGGAGGTGAAGGAATCAGCAGTTGAAGTAGAAAAAGCAGAAGACAAGGGAGTAGATGATGTTAAGGAGTCAGGAGTGGCAGATGGGGTTATCAATTCTTTTTCGTCATCATGGGATGGGACATTATCACTATTCTGGAAAGATATACCTTCTAAAGAATCCTGCAGAATCTGTGAGGCCTGGGACATCCCTTCTATGGGGTCCTGGAAGTTCCTGTCTACCCTGTCTTGGTGGGTGGACTCCTCTAAAGCAGATCCTCGAGCTTCCTGATTTGCTGAACTTTCCATTTCTTTGAGTTGACTGTCAAGAAATTCTTCAAGTGTTTCCATCTGCTTTTTAGCCTGAAATAATATTAAAACAGATTAGACAAGAATGGCTGACTGGAACAGTTCATAATTAACCTTTTGACTGTCGAAAGGCCCAATCCTGAAGTGTCTCCTGATGTCGCAAAATATTTGAAAAAATCTTATGAAAATGTTAAGATTATTTTTCTGATTGTTTTAGTCAAAAAAAAAAAAAAAAAAAAAAAAAAAAAAAAAATCCTATCAGTACTTACCCAGATATAGAGGCATGAAGTTTGCAGAAAATGAGCTGCGTATGGCAACAGCGGCGACTGTCGCTCACCTGGTAAACTTTGGTTTACTTGTATTTGAAGGTTTGTTGTTTTTTTCACTATTTTATTTTTTCACATAACTTATGTGGCCTGTGAGACCAAAGTAAGGTGCAATGTACATATATACACTCGTTGTATACAACACAATAAGCGCACAAACATAATTATCAATATATTGTTTACAAAACTTGTTTACAAAACAAACAATACAAATTTTTTTTTATTACTATTGTTCTATAATATAAATACCAATATACAGTCACTGGACATATTCCTAGAAGTTCTGCAGCTTGTGTAACTCTTTTGAAACATGGTGTCATACACAATGGTGTCTTACACTCCTCACACATAAAACCAGTGTGTGCATTTTTGTGGAAGTTTTTTTTTTATGTGCAAAGACAAAACACCTCGTCTGAGCAGTTTTCTTCAAAGTATTAGCAGGCAGTTGTGTTATGTAGTTATCCTAGGTAAATGGTCATGTGTCATCATTCCTTCCTCCTACCTTCCTGCATTCCTTTCCTGCCTTTCTTCCTGCATTCCTTTCCTACCTTCCTGCATTCCTTTCCTACCTTCCTGCAATCCTTTCCTACCTACCTTCCTACCTTCCTTTCCTACCTTCCTTCCTACATTCCTTCGTCTTTCCTTAATTTTTTCCTTCCTTTCATCTCGTCCTTCCTTCCTTCTGGTTTCTATAATATCTTTCTTTCTTTCAACACATCGGCCGTATCCCACCAAGGCAGGGTGGGCCCAAAAGGAAAAACGAAAGTTTCTCTTTTACATTTAGTAATATATACAGAAAGAGGTTACTAGCCCCTGCTCCCGGCATTTTAGTCGCCTCTTACAACACGCATGGCTTACGGAGGAAGAATTCTATTCCACTTCCCCATGGAGATAAGAGGAAATAAACAAGAATAGAACTAGAAAGAAAATAGAAGAAAACCCAGAGGGATGTGTGTATATATATATGCCTGTACATGTATGTGTAGTGTGACCTAAGTGTAAGTAGAAGTAGCAAGACGTATCTGAAACCTTGCATATTTATGAGACAGAAAAATGGACACCAGCAATCCTACCATCATGTAAAACAATTACAGGCTTTCGTTTTACATTCACTTGGCAGGACGGTAGTACCTCCCTGGGCGGTTGCTGTCTGCCAATCTACTACCTATCTATAATATATATACACATATATAGTCACTAGATACTTTCATATAACTGCTGTTATCTTCATTCAGCAAGCTTGTCTTGTGTGTGTGTGTGGGGCTTATAATTGTTTTGAGTCAGCAGTCGGCAGCTGTCAAAATGACAAAGTCTCATTACTCACTCCCCCTACCGCCTGTCAAAACAATGGTGTCAGATGCTGCTTCCCCTCCATTCTATCTAATTATCTTTCTCCCTCATTCTATCTCTTTCAATCTGTCTCTCTCTTTCTATCTGTCTCACAGGTACACATAAATACAAGAATACATAGTGTAAATTACCTAGGATAACCCAAAAAATCCAGACAAAGTGCTATACTCTGCTTGAAGATGCGAGTAAACGTGATGATAACACAGTCTTGTGGCTCTCTCTGAGACAGAGAGCTAGATGGATAGACAGGGAGCTTGGCAGACAAATAGACAGAAATGTTTGTGTACCAGCAAAAACAAAGAGAGGGCGATGGTCATCTAATCTTTTCTTATCAGCTGCACCCTCTCCCACCCTCATTTACGCTCATCAAATCGTCAGCTCTTATCAGATGTTATCTCCCCTTATCTGTCACTGTCATGGGGTGGACTGTTTTTCATGCTTCAAGGGAACATATTATTACACATTATTATTATTACGTATTCTTATTCTTCTTCTTCCTCCTCTTCCTCTTCTTCCTCCTCCTCCTCTTCTTCTTCCTCCTCCTCCTCCTCTTCTTCCTCTCTCTTCCTCCTTTCTCCTCTCTTCTTCTTCCTCCTCCTCCTCCTCCTCTTCTTCCTCCTCCTCCTCTTCTTCCTCCTTCTCCTCTTCTCCTCCTCCTCCTCCTCTTCCTCCTCCTCCTCTTCCTCCTCCTCTTCTTCCTCCTCCTCTTCTTCCTCCTCTTCTTCCTCCTCCTCCTCTTCTTCCTCCTCCTCCTCTTCTTCCTCCTCCTCCTCTTCTTCCTCCTCCTCCTCTTCTTCCTCCTCCTCCTCCTCTTCTTCTTCCTCCTCCTCCTCCTCTTCTTCCTCCTCTTCTTCCTCCTCCTCCTCTTCTTCCTCCTCCTCCTCCTCCATTGCTTTTGGTCTCAAACTCCTCGAAATCATGAAATTGATCTTCACTGACACTTCCACCTGTGTTAGAGCATCACTTGGGAAGAGAAGAGTCCCAGATTTGCTGGGGAGTCACATATTTCTTACCGCTAGACATGCTGAAAAAGGACGACTGAAATGGCATTCCTACAATGCACCACTGGCTCGCTGATTTTTTTTATATGGTGCACACTGACCATGGAGACCCATTCTCTCACATGTGGGCCTACCAGCTTTCTCCTGCTTGATTTGAAGCTGCTAGAATTTATGCGTATAGATACATATCTCCTATGACGTATATATACGGCCGCGACAGTCAAGGGGTTAAACAACAAATGCTATCCTGTTAAAATGCCCCCCCCCCAATGTGTATTAGTCCTAATATGAATTTTAGCCCCAGTTTTGTTACTGGAGATGCTTGCATTTTCCAGATTATTATTATTTTTATAATCAAAAGGAAGCACTAAACCTACCAGGGTCATACAGTGCTGCATGGTAGGAACTGATGCAGGATCTAAGGATAAATAAGCGTGGAGATGACAATAAAGGTAAAGTTAGGAGGGGCTGTGAGGAGTGCTAAAGAAAAGATTATCAAAACTTTGTGTAATAACTCAGTTGCGATCAAAAAAGTCGAAGAGGGAGTCTGGGTCAAAGGTGGGTCTGTCAGCAAGAAGGGAAAATAAAGTAAGGGCATTAGAGTGGTGATGATGTTTGGAGGAAAATTCTGCATGCTTGTTGATAGGCAGGACAGTCCAATAGAATATGGAAAACTGAAACAGGAACTAGACAATTCTCGCCAAGTGGAACAGGATGCCTCTTCATGAGATACCTATGAGTTAGACAAGTGTGTCCGATGTGAAGACTTGAGAGTGTCGTCTCCCAACCTAGGTATCGATGACAAGGAAGAGGCCAGAAACCCAAACTTGGTTTGATAGAATATAATTTATTGAGTCATATCAGCCCAACATTGTTGCCAATGGTTGTGAAGGTGGGTAGAGATTACAGCAAAATAGTCAGAGAATGGAATACAGTAGACTCCAGGTTTTCAGAATTAATCTGTTCCAGAAAGTTGGCTGAAATCCGAAGTAATATTTCCCATAAGAAATAATGTAAATCCAATTAACCCTTTCAGGGTCGAGAGGCCCTCTCCTAAACTCCGAGAAAATTTCGAAAAAAAAAATATTTTTCTAGCAGATTCTTTTCCGAAATGGTAATTAGAATATTTTCGGAAATAAAAAAAAAAAAAAATTCTTATGAAATGACAGATTCTTTTCCCGATCATAATGAAACCAAAAGTATGAAATTTGATGGAAAACTCATGAAATTATGCTCTCGCGAAGTTAGCGTTTCTTCCGATGTTTACGCATCGGCGATTTCGCCACTTTGAGCCCATTTTGGCCAAATTCTGTGTACTAGTCGACAAAAACATATAATTTCGCTAGAACTACCATTTTTTTCTATTGAATGAGTACAAAAAACCACCCATTTACCAATTTCAACTATCCAATAAAGTGGTTAGAAATTGGCAATTTTGCCAATTTTACACAAATTTCAGAAGATGCCAATTTCCAAAGGGTTCCAGAATAAACAAGAAGACATTCTGGCACTAAAAAACAAGTTACTACTGTTCGTTAGGATCACATCCAGGCCCCGCTATATTTCTTTTGCTTTCCACTTTGAATTTTTATTCTTACAAAAAAAGAGAAGACTTACTGTTATTCAGACTACGGCATTAGTGTAGAAATGGTATAAATAATATCAGCGCACTTGTGAAAGAATATTTGATTCACCAGTTGACGTGTATTGGACACTTGGCATGATTTGTTTACTTTTGAACTTTGGTGAGAACTGAACATTTCTGCTACTTGGAGCTCAATTTCAAGGTACTTTTCATTGTGAAACCAATCAAAATCATCTCAATTTCTGTAATATGTCTTCCATTCTATAAAATGAGACCAGGAAAACTAAAATACGACCATAAATACCATACAAAAATACAGTGCAAAGTCGCTGTTTTAATTCAAAAGCACAAAGTTTTTTTTTTACCCATTACGCAGTGTGCTGCAGGATTTTTTTATACTGCGCACATTGACCACATAGACCCATTCTTTCATATGTAGGCCTACCAGCTTTCTCTTGATAGATTTGAAGGCTCTAGAGTTTAGGCATTCTAGTACGTCAAAAACCTTGGTGCGTAAGCCGTACTAGTACGTTGAAAACCCTGAAAGGGTTAATCTGTTTCAGACACCCAAAAATATTAACAAAAAATACATTTTATAGAGAATACACCTACCATCCGACTTACGACCTGCTCAAAATATGATCACTCGATTTACGACCATGTTATGTATGCAAATGTTCTGGGAAATAAACAACTGTTTGTGTTGTACAGTGTTTCTCCTAAAAAAAAAAAAAAAAAAAAAAAAAAACTTATGAAATGTTAGAGAACCTTTTCCCGATTGCAATGACACAC